TCATTAAACATTTTAAATATACAAATTATATGAAAATAAAGTGAATAAAAATTAAATATATTTTTACTCACTTTTTGTATAAATATAATCTTGTATATTATATTTAAAATGTTTTTTTAATTATTAAAACACACATACACAATCTCATTACAAAAATGATATCAATAACAATATTTAGTGGGTGTCCAGACTATGCTCTGGACACCCACTTTCCTTGCCCTCATGTAAGATACTCCCAATTCTGCTCCTTCTTAAGGTGCCCATACACCTGCCTATTATCGTACGATAATCGCGGAAAAATCCAGCGATCGTGCGATAATTGGCAGGTGTATGGAAGATGTGCGACCGCTTCTACTGTACGGTCGCACGTCTTTTGTCTCCCGAGCATGCTTGAAAACCGGGTAAGTGGCGTTCTCGGGAGACAACTGCCACACAGAAAGTCGTGCGATGGTTGTAAGGTCATTAACATTTCCCACCAGCGTGCTCGGAAGACAAAAGACGTGCGACCTTACAGTAGAAACGGTCGCACGCCTTCCATACACCTGCCGATTATCGCGCGATCGCTGGATTTCCCGCGATTATGGTATGATAATCGGCAGGTGTATGGGCACCTTAAAGCTGCCCATAAATAATAAATGACAATTTCGTGATAAAGCAGTAGGACGATCTGATGTCTCCGGGCCAGACGCTGTTGACGTAAGCTTATCAGAGGAACAGGGACTGCACACGTTACAAAACCCCCTTTTGTGATTTCTGTTTGCCCCCCTGATAAGCCGGCAATGGAGGGGGGTCTGCTGACTGGTCCTCTTCATAGCTGGGAAAGGTGTCCCGAGTGCTCTCATCAGGCCTTCTAGTGCCTATGGCCCTAATGCCCAACCTGCCTCGGCCTGCAATGGCCGCGAGATCTCTAGCAGTCTAATGTAATGTGTCCTCAGACCAGGCCAATAACTCCTAGAGCATGTCCTGCTGCAGCACCAGAGGGGGCCCGCACGCTGCAAACGCCAGAGGGGGCCCGCACGCTGCAAACGCCAGAGGGGGCGGGGCCTGCACACTGGCAGGTCTCTGACCATCTCATTGATCATTATGTGCAGGTCTTTGCTCATGTCAGGGACCGCACTTGGGGGACCCCCTACATCAGGGATGGCCAAACTGCGGCCCTCCAGCTGTGGTGGAACTACAAATCCCATAAGGCTTTGCAAGATGCCCACAACCACAGACATGACTCCCGGAGAGAGATGCATCAGGGGATTTGTAGTTTCACCACAGCTGGAGGGCCGCAGTTTGGCCCTACATGAAGCACGTTGACCATCACCGGTCTATGGGCAGCTCAAATGGGGAGCCAAATAAAATCTAGGATTGGAAAGCGCAGACATCAGACATATGATAACAGATTATCTGGGAAAGGAGCCGATAGTGGTTCAGCATCATGTGGTAGACAGATAAGACGCGGCTCCCGTACTGATAAAGACATTTGTAGGAAGGGAGCAGCCAATGGACATATGCTGATTACCTTATTGGCAATTTGTACGGTTGATAAGCCTGGGAGGGAAGCGCTGGTAGTCCCATCTACACACAGTATAGAAAACTCTACCGGCCATAGACAAGGAGATATCTTTCCATCCACACACAAAGGCCGGGACCTCTACCATGATGACAGACAGGAAACGAGGATGGAAATCCCCCAACCACAACATTGACCGGAATAATAGGTTTGTTGTCTCTCTAGGGAAGGATAAATCCCCAAATCGGGTATTTATTGTCAAAGATTAAAAAAAAAAAAAAAAAAAGAAGAAGGAAAAGGGGAAATGCATACACATGCGCCAACACATGTGCATTGGCGCACATGCTGTGGTGGGAAACGGCTCTTGGTGATATGGATTCTCATCATACATAAAATGGAGAATCCATCAACACTCACCCCGTGCAGATACAGGACCTGCCAAATAGGTTCCATACACACAGGAAGAGAAATGAGCAGATTTGATTGGCTCGTAAAAAGGTCTTTAGACACAACAGATAAAGGTGATGAGTTATGAAGGAACTAG